AGCGTCTTTCTATGTGTAGATGCAAAATCATGCAAATTTGCAGCATAATTTGCAGCATGTAAATGAGTCGCAGGTGTTTTTGTGCTAACAGCTTGCTCCCGGTGAAAAGAACGGACAGGTGTGCAAATAAAGGTCACAGCAGCTTTGTTTACAAAGTCACAGCCACATCTCACAAACAGGAATAACATCTTTGATGCTAATGGAGATGCTGACATGTTGATTCTGAAAAGTGAACAGTTTCAGTAGAATTATTGTGTTCATTAATTTTTTTAAGAACTCTTTCAAATGGATATGCTGCAGTCTTTCCCAGCCCTCACTGGGCGACAAGCTGGGTACATACTGGAGTCAAACATGCTTGTCTTTGGGCTGTAGGAAAAATCTGGACCACACTGAGAAAACACACACTGTCAGCAGGTTTGAAGCCAGAATCCAGATAACAGACCACTGTAACAGATCGCTGTAAAGCACTGCAGCACCACGGAACAATATCAAATCTTTCATGTTGGTTAAACTTTGCTACATTTTATCCTTTGCTAATATTTATTTTATTTTTCTCTTGTATGTTTAAGCTATGTAAATCTCAAAGGATCTAAAAAATAGTGTGTGTGCCCACAAAACAACTTTCAAATGCCACAAAAAGAATGCATATGCAAGTGTGCATGAATCTCCAGCTTTGAGCTTTGTGTGTCTGGCTCCCAGAAATCTTAACCAATCCACTCTTTCCTGGGAGGCTGAACGAGGACATCTACAGTTTACAATTTTCAAAAATGCCCTTAGAGAGTGTCTAATCTTGGCAGGAGAGTTATTTCACAAAGATCAAATTGGTCGCTTCATGCTGCAGGTGTCTTTTTCTGCTCCTGGATATGTAAAAGGGACTGCCTGGCATATTTGGGTAACATCAAACATGTGTGTGTCCACATGAGCTTGTGTGTTTGGCTCTTTCAGACAGATGTCCAAGTAAGTCTTAATAGAAGCTGCGGTTTTTATGTTAAGACAGGACAGATTCTCTGAGGCTAAAGAAGTGTTATCCTCAGACTTGTTTCTGCAGTGAGAAAAAAGGGAGGATGGGGGTCTTTTCTTTGGCACTGGAACTGCTTGTTCTGCGAGTTATGAAAGCCTGTTTGGGTGAGCGTACAAACAGATTTCCACTGGGGCCACCCACGCTCGAGATTCAGGCGCTCGTGGTGCTGTCAGGTGATTTAGATAAAAGCATTCAGTAAATAACAGATGATATGCATATGGGGATACCGCTTCTTTTAAATTACTACCGAGCCGTGTATTTAAAATTACCCCGGGCAGGCAAAACATACCAATTATGTATCTCAATTGTTAAGCATCATTACTGTTACTATTATATTAAAAATGAAGAAACATCAGAAATAGTGGCAAAACAACGTGATTAACTAGTCTGTTCTGATCAGAGAATCAATAAAAAGATACTTAGTTGAGACCACGAGGGTTGGTGCATACTGCTAAAACCCTGTAAGTGACTCCATTAGGCCACATGATAACATCATACTGTACCTGAAAGATGTTTCCTTCCTGCTCTTACAGCCAGATTAAACTTTATTACAGCATCGTAAGCGCCATTGCTTACTCATTAAAGACCCATTCCGGGTCTTTTCGGTCACAGATACAAAAAGAGCGTGTGTGTGTGTGTGTCTGTGTGTTTGTGTGTGTTTGTGTGCCTGTGCGTGTGTGTGTGTCTGTGTGTGTGTTTGTGAGAGAGAGAGAGTTCAGAGCCTAACGGTGATGATTTGTAAAGTCAGAAAAATGTAAAATTGATGCACATCAAAGGGAGGACAACAAAAGGTAGGATGTTACATTTGAGTGTTAAGGACTGACTTTGGCTCAAGGTCAAATTTATGATCATATCATTCATCAATCACTTCTCATTAATGAATTGAGAGCAATGAACTGACAGTGGCCCTTTTAAGTAAAAATACTTGTACTATGGTACATAAATATTATCATAAAAGTACAGTTTGCTTTATGGACATGCTGATGGGAGCCTGTTCTTACTTTGTTGTTAAGTCAGTTATATTCATAACAGCACACTGCATTTTAAAAGCAGTTCACGTGTTTTTTTTCTTTAAAGAGTTTTTAAAGAAAAATATGAAGTCTCTTATATTTACAGAAAAAGTGCACGAAATGTGATATTTGAAAGTGAAAAAAGAAATGACTGCTTATCTTAAAAAGAAGCTGCAAGCAGCCTGCCCTGACTCAATACTCATTTCTTTATGGGCCCCCATGATAAAGGAGCCCATAAAATTTTTAATAGGTCAGCTGTATTCTATGAACAATAAAGATATCTCTATCTATAAAAAGGTATTTTTGGTTACTGCTTCATTTCCTAAGAATAATAAATTCACATGTTTGATTTGGCACATGCCCTTCCGGATGTGACCCTCTCCTTTGTCCGGGTTTGGGACCAGCATTAGGACACACTAGCTTGTAACACCCCGAGGCTGGTTTTGTGCCTCGTCCCTGTCAAACTGGGGATCTGTTTCTGTAAAGCAGTTGTGTCAACCACTACACCTCGTAGCCACAACAAATGTCCTGTATCTATAGAAGAGCAATAACACGATTCTTGGAGAAGAAACTCTCTCGACATGCCAAGCAACTGGTTGTACAAAGGTTCACAATACTTAAAATAACTGGATGCATTATTTTAAGTAGGTAGGTTTTGACATTAGGTATTCTCTTGAAGTTGTACTTGAATGCAGCACTTATGTGTCAGTCAGATCTGTTTAACTTTATGGTTTTATAGCTTCTAGTGAACAGCTACATAGTGACTCTACTGATTAACCGAGTAAATTAGCTTAATTATCAAGTTGCTCAGTGGGCTTAGCCAGAGATTTTCCACTGTGATGTAGAGTTCGCTAAGGAGATTGTTGCCTCCTCTCAAGGCCATCCTCACTCCTTCTCTCTTCACACTAATAAGACCTACATTACTGGATCTCCCTAATTGGTATGCAGGGCTACTGGAAAGAGTCACAGAGGCAAACCATATTTCTTTGACAGGCACAGAAACATAGTAATTAGATCCAGCAGATGCTGCCTGCAACAGCTGCACCGGTAATATGGTTCTAGGATACAGTCCTCTGACTGGGCGAGCTCGGTTTAAAAAAGTCTTTGATACCATGAACGATACACCGGGCGGCTGCAGACTTACTGCTGGATGAGAAGTGGAAACAGCAGGTTTGTTTGCAGAGAAAAGAGCAGGTATGGAAACACGTCTGCAACTGCAGATGTTTCACAGCGTTTACGGGATTTAATGGCTACAGGGATCAAAGTGTGGTAGCTCCGTTTTATATTGATCTGTGCCATAGTTTTATTGTTCAGTTCTTTAGAAGACAAACAACCGTCTAACTGTAAAATGCAACACCACACTGAATGTTTAAACAGGATTTTAAATTAAATAAATACGTATAGCACAAACAGTTTCAGTTAGTTTAATTTGTAAGGTCAACATTTCATGAATTTAAAAAGTGTTTTTTTTTTGTCACCGTCACGTTTCGCAGCAAATGTTCCTTATGTTATGGCACTAATTCATACTTGTTTTTTTCATCTCAGAGAACTGTGTCTTGAATGTGAAAAGTGGGAAATTTCACATCAGCCTGAGTTTCGGCTTCACAGAGCGGTGCAACTGAGAGAAGAGAAAACCACTGAAAGCCCAGTGTAGCACTGAGAGTGAGCCTGGTAGCACTGGTGGGAGAAAACACAAAAATACCACAGCAACTAGAGAGTGAAGGTTTATAAAAATAAAACTGAGAAGTTTCAAGTTGGTGAGTTAGAGGAAATTTCCCATTTAAACAATTTGTTTTTTTGTTGTTTTTTTTTTGTAATAAGGGGATTCCTCGGGAGCGCGGAAACCGGGGAATCCAGAGTCTGGATCTGATGCTGAGTGAAGCCTTTTGTGTCAGGAGAGAAATTAAGAATAAACATCTCCTA